CACTGCTGGCACACCAGTCATAAAATCGTTCGTTATAAATGGACGCAATACCACTGATCTTCTGCAGGAAGGCGTACGATTAATGGGATCACGATCGAAGTGCACAGGTATTAGAACTACGGGCATTTGTGAGATTTTGCGATACAGTCCCTCTTTCATTATAATCTATTGAATCAGGGAAGAATAGAAAAACCATTCGAATCATAAGCAATTTGATTGATTATGAAGCAACTCACCTCATTAGCTATTGCGTCCGCTTGCCGGAGTTGCGCCAGTACTACAGTGTTCAGCGTTGTGTGCGTTATATCTGTAATCAGATACTGCACGGGATCGCCAAAGATATAACAGACTCGGTTAACATTATGCAATATGCGTGGTATGATTTTGGCCAAAAATAACATGTCAGCCCAGTTGGGCTCCGGAGTCGTCGTTGACAAGCCAACAACATAGCTGTAGGTGCGCTTATCACCCTGTACACCCACCGAGCGTACCGGCAGTAGAGTAGCCTGTATATCTGAATTGGCAGAGATGCGCAGCAGTTCCTTTTGCTCAGCTTCATTAGTGGCGCCCGTGACACGATTAATAAGCGCATGATTCTTTTGTAGTTTATTTTTGTAGTCCACTATAACACGCACAATGACCTGTGAGCAAATCGATTTAACTTTAGCTACATTCGTAAGAAAACTGGGATTTTCTGAGTGCTACTTGCCTGTGTTTCAGAGTAATCCTTCTCCATATATGCTTCCTCGGCGCAAAGAACGCGTATGGCTAGACCAGGACCGGGGAACGGCTGCCGCTCGACCAATTCCGCTGGCAGGCCAAGATCGTTGCCCAGGTCACGCACCTCATCCTTGTGGAAGTCACATAATGGTTCTACGACACGGCCAGCATTACGCAGCTCCCTACAAACAAATTTGACTCACATTAAAATACGAATATCACAATTGATAATTGACCTCGTTCATATATAGAATATATGGATAGGTGAACACAAATAATTATATCCTTGGCAGCGAGGTGCCATCACTTGCCTACAACTTGTTGTAGGCTCAATTTCTTTAAAATGCTTGGCTCCAGTTATGTGTTCCATATATGGATTGCTTCCGATATAAATATGAATTTCAAATATTTTTCCCAAGGCATACCAAAAACAAACTAAAATATAATAAAGTATCTTGAATATGCTATCGCTCTACCGAATCAGATCCGTGTCATTGTGATGCGTTTTAATTGTTTCGGCATTCGTGCTGACCATATTCGATGCAGACTCAATCAAATCCGGCCTCAGTGTGCCCTGTGCCAAGAGGACCTCCTCGGGCTTCAGTTTCAGCTCGGCCACCACATCGTTAGTCACTTTCACAAATATATCACCGATTATTTTTCGCTTCTCCTCTGGGTTGTACGTCTGACATAACATGGGCGTTTCAACTACCGAATACTGGCCGGGTCGTTTCACTTGCGTGGTGCCCTTGAGGAACGTGTAGCATTCTTTACGCACTATCAAATCAATGCCAATATCTCGCAATGAACGCACTACATTTTCGCTTTCGTTTTTTCGCATGAAACCTATCCGGGAGAAATGTGCAAACGGTTAGTCAGGGTGAATATTAAGATTGTACAATGTCAATATTACCATTATCCACATGAACTGCTATAATCTGATTGGGATGCAGCGCTCGTCGCAGTAATGCAGCACAGACACTTGAATCAACGCCTCCACTGACTAGCAACTGTTTAAGATTTAGTGAAACAATGAAATATGGATTTCTATTGAGCAAATATAATCAGATACATACCAAAACCTTATTATTGCCCACTTTTTCGCGTATATACCGAATGCATTCCTCTTTTCGACTGCCCATGGTAAAGTTTGGCGTTAGTTCGCAAATTTCGTATAGAAAATTGGATAGCATTTGTTTGCCGTTGATAGTTAGATCGACTTCTGGATGAAATTGAACACCATAGATTCTCAATACCTCACTGTAAATGGCCGTCACAATCCGATTCGATGACCAGCCACCCACTTTCAACTTATCGCCCACTCGCTCCACGCTATCGCCATGAGTGAGCAGCACGGACTGTGTACGGCTAAGGCGACTGCAATAGAGAAACATTGATTAATAAACTGCGAAACAGAATGCGTTTCAAAAAGAATTAATTGAATGTCAAGCCACGTGTAGATCAGTTTATAAACTACGCTAAATTGAACTGTTCTTGGCTTTAGCTTTACTCTGGCAGCATTGTATCAGCGCTCAAATAAACTGACAATTTGAAGACTTTCTTGTTGCTGCTGATTAGAATCAGGAAACGATAGATAGATAGATAATTAGAATGGTGGTGGCAACCGTACCTGAACAAAGGACATGACGTTTCAATCTCAATATTTTGTTGTCCATCTTCTCGCACGGAAGTCTTGAGAACACTGCCGCCGAACTCTTTGTTGATTAACTGCATGCCATAGCAGATGCCAAGCACTGGGATTTTCAGTTTAAATAGATCGGGATCGTACGTGGGCGCATCTTCGGCGTACACTGAATTGGGTCCGCCGGATATGATTATGCCCCGATAGCCATTATCACGTATCGTTGCGGCAGGCGTATCCAATGGCAGAATATCCGATTCTACTAAAAGTTCTCGAACCTTGCGATCGATTACCTGCATCGAGGATTATATTTATTTAATTATATATATTACTATATAGATAGATAGACGACTTACCTTGCCATACTGTGCACCAGCATCGAGTATAACAATCTTATCGTGTCGCAGTCCATTCTCCGCTGTCGTTAGGTATATAGATGTACTCATATCTTTATCGTTGCAGCACTGACCAGGATGACGCCGAGGAGAACAGACACAGAGAGTGAGCGAGAGCGAGAGAGACGAAGAGAAAGATTGTGCGATTAGCAGCTGCCGTTAATAATAAATGTCATGCAATTGTCTAAAGCAGCCAAATACAACTAGCGATATGCGCCAGATCTGTAAGCATATTTATATGCCTGCCAATAGGTGTATGTAACTGGGGTGCCATGTTTCGGGCTGCGTAATTGAAGCATGTGCTACAAGGTCGAAATTGAATTGAATTGAATTTAAAGCCATATCAACAAATGCAATAAGCAACACATCGGATCTGTTTAACTTTGGTAAGGTAACATACAAATGGAACAACACATACCGGTAAAATCTTTTGGATCACACGTAGAATCATTCAACATGCAGACATGAAATTGTCAGGCCAAGTTTTGCGACAATTCTACGATAGATAAACATTTCCATTTTGGTCAACAGCAATGAGTAAAAAAAATCTATTCAAGGGGGAGGAGGTTGCTGCGATGGCGGCGGCGGCAACGGCGTGACAAAAAGGTCAAAAGCCGACGCCTTCAAAATGAATCGAACATATATTTTTTCTTTACCAGTGTGTTATGAGCATATGAAATGGGTGTGGGTGAATTCGACGTAATTTAGCGGAAAACACAGATTTGTTATTTTTTGTTTGTTGTTTTTGTTTTATCCCCAAATGAAAATTGCACTGGGGCATTTATAAGATTTTTTTATTTTGTCATTTGAGCGTGTGTGGGGGCCGTCACTGACCGCGACAGATGACATGCAGAAAGAGCATGAGAGAGCGGGTGTTGTGCGTGCATGTCTGCGTTTGTGAGTGTGAGTGCGAGTACGAGAAGAGGCGAGCGGCGCTAAAAAGGAGACTAGCGAATGAAAACTCAAAACACGCGCTGCGAATGCAAAATGCCGTGGAATGCGAAAATGCGTAAAGGGAAATGTACAAAAAGCAAACGGTAAACGATGTTGGGGCTATGTTTCTAACTGTTGTTATTGTGTTTATGTGGCAACTCTATGCTTTTGCATTTTTAAAACACTTTCGGATCAATTATTCGTGTTGCCGTTTCCTCTATAGCATGCGCTCAGGCAATGTTGCATTGCGATAAGCAAATGGCAACAAAAAACTTATATGTAAGTCAAAGGCTATCAACAAGCACCAAAAACAACAACAGCAACAGCAAAATGCAATTTGAGATGCAATTGGGGGACACACGTGGGGAAAATGGTTTTGAATCAAGCTATAACCACAAAACGACCACGGTTATTTGTATGTCATGCAATTTGTGAGCGCATTCAAAAGTCGGTCAAAAGCATACGCATTTGCACACGTCGAAAACGCAAAAAGGAAAAAAGTGTGAAATTCGCGGTTAGTGGGGGAGGCGCTGGCTGATGTTAAATTTCTTACCTGGTTTGCTAATTGCCGGGTGGAGGTGGAGGCTTATTGAGTAGGAAAAAAACACTTTATTCTTAAACACTAAATGCACGTCTTATGCTGGATGCAGTATTCCGCTTATCTTTGATTTAAACAGCACACTTCTTTCTTTTTTGCTTTTTTTTTAGAAAAATCGGCACCGCGTCCGACTCCGTCGAATCCGCAAATTTTTGACAATTTTCAGGGCCTTACGAGAGCCGCTGCAGCTGGCACATTGGTGTCTGAGTAATATTCCTTGTAAACGTTTATAAGATATGCGGCTGTTGGCGATTTACCACTGTCCAGAGCAATACAATTTATATATTAAGGTGCTCTGCAACTATACTTTTCGTGAATAAAAGCCGAAAGATGACATATTGACGAAGAAATTAGTGTTGGGTTGTGAATGAGCGAAAAAAAATGAACCATTGGCTCAAATGAATAAAGGGTTCTCAATTATTGCGAATTCCGTGTATATGAATTTAATATTGCGCACTCATGTATTCCATTGTGTTCATCTATCTGTTTAAACTGTCTGTAATCATCAATATATTGAAATGCATCAGAGCAATCAAATATTGAAATTTTTGCAAAATCATTTTTTATAATTTCGAGAGCGACGAGCGAATTGAAATAACAGTTCACAGCACTGGAAGGCCACTGAATTCAGCGTTGCTGCGGATATCCTACAAAATAATCGATAGCATTAATATGCAAGTGTTAGTAAATGCAAGTCGTACAGCATTACTCAATACACAACAGCTGGCCCGCCAAAAATGATTTGTATGCGCGCTCTTTTGGATACGTAGAAAAAATCTCTTCATAGAATTAAATTCGAGCACTAACAATGAGTCCCGCAAACAAATCACAGGCTGATATAAGCGTAGAAGACGAAGAAGAAATTCTAGCACTTGAAAAACTATTAAGCGAAGCTGAAAACGATAATGGAACGGAAAGTGCAAACGCAGCAGCACCGAAACCACCAACACTAGCCACCGCAGTGCCCCGATTACGTGAAGACGACAGCTTTGCAGACGCCTTTAGCTATGAGGTGACCGCCAAGCCAGCAAAAACAAATGCAGATACAATAGCGAAAGCGGCAGAGCCAGAGCTCGATTCATCGGACGACGAAGAGGTCAAGAACTTCTTGGAGCGCAAATATAATGAGTACGGCAGCGACATCAACAAAAAACTCAAACAGCAGCGTGAAACTGCACACGAAAGCAAAGTGGCACGCGAGGTGGATCAGTCATTAAAAACAACGACAAAACTGGTGACTTCATCGTCTCAGCCGGAGGCATTGCGTCTCAAGAATCCGCATAATCCCATCAAACGAACGGCGCTGGCAGGCAACTCATTCCAGAGACCAGCATCGACAGCAGCAGCAGCTGCTGCCACAACCTCTGGCCAATCTCTGCAGCAGTCAAAGATCACGGCTGTTTACACGGATCCCGTTTTCGGGCTGCGTATGATCAATCCATTGATATCTAGTACTTTGCTGCAGGAGCGCATGAATGGTCGCAAGGCGGTGCCTTTTTCTGGTCTAGCCTTTCATATTGAACGCGGTGATTTGTCCAAGGATTGGGTTATTGCCGGCGCATTGGTCACCAAGCAGCCGGTGCGAAATACCAAAAAAGGTGATCCCTATTCCACATGGACTCTCTCAGATCTGCGTGGCGAAATGAAGACTGCCACTGTCTTCCTCTTCAAGGAGGCACACAAATCATTGTGGAAAACAGCAGAAGGCATGTGCCTGGCCGTGCTCAATCCGACTATCTTTGAGAAGCGCGCGGGCAGCAAAGATGTCGCTTGTCTGTCCATCGACACCTCACAGAAGGTGATGATTCTCGGCCAGTCCAAGGACCTGGGCACGTGCCGTGCAACCAAAAAAAACGGCGACAAATGCACAGCTCTTGTTAACCTGACCGACTGCGACTACTGCGTCTTCCACGTGAAGCAAGAGTTTGGTAAAATGTCCCGCCGTTCCGAGCTGCAGTCGGCGACAACGGGACGCGGCCTCAACGAGCTGCGCAACAAAGTGCTGGGTAAGTATCACAATCCCAATCAATTAGAGCTCGTATAAACATCTCTGTTTGCAGGCAAGAATGAGGTGTTCTATGGTGGTCAATCCTTCTCGGCCGTGCCGGCACGCAAAAGCGCCAAGCTTATCAACAAGGAGCGCGAGCGGCTCAGCAAGCTGGCTGGATACGATATCTCGCCCTTTGCCCATAGCGTTGATCACAAGTCTAAGCCGCATGCCACCCTGCCAGAGAGTGTGCCCTATGCAGAGCGTGGTGGACCCGTCTCACGGCTGGCCGGCAATGTGGAGGCTTCATCCAAGCAGCGTTACAAGGATCTCGAGCGCTTGCGTCTGCTCCGCGAAGAGAACGAACGTTTTGCAAAGAAAGCAGCCGCATCAACTCAAGAGACTCCAACAACTCCCATACCCAAGGTAGGTGAGCCGCCCACCACACCGCAAAGCGTGCCGGATAAGTTCAAGAATCGTGGATTCTCATTCGATGCCAGTCTGACACCGAAACTGGCGGGAAGCGAGAACTTCAGTTTCGAGGTGAACATTGGAGCGCGGAAGGCGCAGAGCGCCAAATCAAGAGCAGCAGCGCTGTTCAAGATGAAGCCGCTGGAAAAGGTCAATCCTAATTCCACGCGCGGCACTGAGTCTGGCAAACGACGTGCCATCGATGAGCTGCACGAGAAGTTCAGCAACACAGCCAAACGGCAAAAGCTCGAGGAAGAGGAACGCGAATTGATGCGTAAATCGCGCATCGAGAGAATCATGGCTGCCACATCCTCCCACACGAATCTAGTCGATATGCGAGAACAGGAAGCGCAAGACGACTATTTCAATAAACTCGAGCGCAAAGAGGCCATGGAGGAGAAGATGTTGAATACGTATAAAATGCCCTGCAAGGCGGTTATCTGCCAGCGCTGCAAATACACAGCCTTCGCGGCCGCCGAGCGCTGCAAGGAGGAGAAACATCCACTGAAAGTCGTGGATGCTGAGAAGCGTTTCTATCAGTGCAAGGACTGCGGCAATCGCACCACCACCGTCTTCAAGATGCCCAAGCACAGCTGCAGCAGCTGCAAAGGCTCACGCTGGGAGCGCACGGCCATGATCCGGGAGCGTAAGGTACTCACGGGCCGTGAAACCCTCTCGGTGCGAGGGGACGAGGAGACCTTTTTGGGCAGCGTGGCCAGTGGGGCGAGTCTCAATCTGCTCGTGCCCGAGGAGGAATAGATAGAATAGGGTTCGAAACTTGATCGATGAGAGGAAAAGACTCGGACTGCGTTATCTTGTATGTTAATATATTTGGAATATTATATAGAAATGACATAGTTATAAATATATATTATGTATAAAGTTTTATATACAGTCTAGTATTTGGCATATACACATTGAATAAGTACAAATGGTCCGAAATTCTTAAGGCTTATGTGTTCAGTAGTATGTCTCTGTATGCCTTATACAAGTGGCTCCATGTATTCTTAAAAAGTTGGTGCACAAATCTAGCAAATATTTTGGGTTTTTTTTTTTATAAATATAAATTTTTGGTAAGTTTTTTAAAAAGGTTTTTTTGTTTTCGAATTTCCACAACTCAATTTGGTTAGACTTGCTCAAAGCTAAATCATGTTTCGTATGTTTCATATTTGTGACAAGAAGCGCATTAATTTGTTGCAATAAAGAATAGATTATACATATATTTATAGGTATTTAGATCTAAGGTCTATGTTTAGCATTTAGATTAAAATTTTCTTCGAAAGGCAACTAGAGTCTTAAAAGTATGGGCATAAGCTTAGCACAGTTAAATTTTATAAATATTTCGATACGAAATTGGCAAAGATATTGGAGAATAGTGTTGTAAAATGAATTACAAAGTTTGTTGGAGTGTGAGAAGAGTGCCGTAAGCTGAATTATGAAGTTTTGAAGTATTGAAGCGTGGAGCTAGAGTGAAACCAAAACACAATTGGGACAAAAAATGTATATAGGTAAATTAAAACTAGATGTTTATGAAGTTGAAAGACATTCGTATGAAGATGAAGATATAATAATGGAAAATATATTGAAAATAGAAATTATGAAATATGAATGTAGCTCATTTGATAAAGATGTGGACAAGTCCTATCAAGGTTTTGACTATGCGGATCTTAAGTACTTTCCTTCAGTTTCAGAGTCTCTTCCCACACTCTAAATGCAACAGAGTATTCGAGTTAAATTTGTGGATAATATTATAAAGCTAAATACATATATGATACATAGGTTTAAAACTAATTAACAAACGATTTGAACTAAAAAATCAGGCGCATCTACAAATAATTAAAAACAAACAATAATAACAAAAACAAAAATTGTCGAAATACTGAGGAAAACCCTTTTTAGACCGCATCCTCGGCATGGGGCTGCGGCGTTTCGGGGTCTTTGAGATTTAGTAGACTGGAGAAACGAAATGAGATGGTCTTGGAGAGATGCTTCTCAAAGTCGCGATTATCGAGATTATCGGGTATTAACGTATTATTGGTCATATCCATGTAGGAGCGTCCACGCTTCACGGGCACCGCATACTCGGGCAGGCAGGAAGCAGCAGCAGCGCCTCCATTTGCGGTCATGTTGCTGTAGCTGGGCGCGCAGCTGGACTTGCGTATGTTGAGCGGAAAGCGTAGATCGTTCTCGTACCGCAGCACCTGCTCCGTGGTGCTGGCCTCGATTAATGGGCGTGGCAGATCGTATCCAGGCGGAGCTGCAGCCGCTGCGGAAGCGAATTCTGGAACCGACTCCTCCCGACTGTTGTTCAGCTCGTGGTCGTAGCTGTTGATCTTGGGCGGCGACCAGAGGTGCTGCAACGATTCCGGCTCACCCAGCTGGTCGACAAGTCCCTCGCTGGGCATTAGAGCCGCCTCATCGCTGCAGTACAGCGGATTTGATACGGCATTCGTCTCCAGCTCAATGTACTTGGCATTGTTTCCCAACAGCTTCTCAAACTCCGCGGCCAAGTACTTGAAGGAAGGCCGTGCATTGGGCTCATCCGCCCAGCAGGTGCGCACCACCGAGTAAACCGCCTCGGAGCAGTTCTCTGGACGCTCCATGCGATAGCCCGTCTTGAGCAGAGACCACAAGTTCTGGGGCGCTATGCCTGGATACGGCGAGGCGCCCAATGTGATCAGCTCCCAGCAGAGCACACCGAACGCCCACACATCGGACTTACTCGTGTACACATGATCCGCCAGAGACTCGGGCGCCATCCACTGCAAAGAGAGCGGCAATTGGTCATATGCATTTGGAACAGCTCTCAAGCTCAGCTCACCTTGACGGGCACGCGATCCCTGGATCGCTTCAAATAGGCATCATCCTCGTAGACATCGCGCGTCAATCCGAAGTCGGAGATCTTGCAGATTTTGCCATCGGCAAGCAGCACATTGCGTGCAGCCAAGTCGCGATGAACCAGCTGGAAGGGAAGAGGGAATTAGAATTTTGCCTTTGATAATCCTAGTTGAATCTTAAAAGAATATTACATCATACAGATACATATTTTCTACCACTTAATCTACATCTATCTGATCTAAAATCACACGCACCTTCAGCTCGGTTAGGTAGTTCATGCCCTTGCATATCTGCCAGGCAAAGGTGAGCATCATCTTCACATTGACGGGCTCAACGCCGTCGCTGAAGTCGACGCCGGCGCACTCGATTTTCCTGCTCAGGCGCAGGTAGCTTCGCAGCGAGCCATAGCGGGCATATTCGATAATGAGCAGCGGTGCCTCGGAGGATAGGGTGCAGGCGCCCAGCAGCTTGATCACATTCGGATGGGAGACCTCCTGCAGCAGCTGGAATTCGGAGAGCAGGGCCATGTACTCCACCGAGTTGGCGCCTTTTTTGAGCATCTTGACGGCGACGGTGGTGACGCCTGGCAGCCCTGCGATGTGGGTGGCATATCCCTTGAGCACCTGCCCAAACTCACCCTCGCCCAGCACTGTATCCAAACGCAGTTGATCCCGTGGAAATTCCCATTTGGCATCGCCGCTCTCGAACTTGAAGCCCGTCTGCAGTGGCATCAGCGGCAAATCCCCTTCGGCACCGAGGCCCTCCAGGCTGGGCGGCATGGCGACCTTGGTGGCCGGCGTGGTGGACTGTTTGCCGAGGCGTCGCTGCCAGAGCTTGCGCTGCGAGAAGAGCAGGCAGAGCAGCAGCAGCACAAAGATCAGCGGGCAGCTGACGACCAGCAGCAGGCAGAAGCGATTGCACTCCATGCCAGCCAAATGGAGCACACCCAGTGCCAGGACAGCATCCTGGTCGGGCTGCTGGGCCCCGCTCGGTGCGTGCGCCAGGCTAGCCTGCTCCACTTCCGTTTCATTCTTTCGCTTGCGCTGGCGACGCGCCTTCGCTTCCTCCTCGTCGGGCAGCGGAGCACAGCTGCATTTGCCGTTGTCCTCGCAGAGGCAGGTGCCCGAGCCACTCAGTATGCCACGCCCATTCTCATTGCTGGTATGCGGACCCACGATGCGGGAGGCCGGCGTGCAGTCCTGCGGACAGGCGAGTGGATTGAGCTCCTCGAGTGCATCGCACACATGATCCGGACAGTAGCGCGCATCCGGCACGCAGGAGCCGTAGTTGCGTCCAAACATAGCCGAGCTGGAGCCGCGCCAGACACACGGCCCCCCGTTGGTGGCCAGGCCACAGAATTTGACGCACTGCGTCCGGTACTTGACCTGGGCGCAGGTCTGCGAACGGGACTTCAATCGCAGCTCACAGTTGGCATTCTCCGGTCTGCCCTCCACCAGGTGCACGTTGATGACGAACGCATGCGACTGCTTCTCGGCGTCCTGCCAGGTGACGTTCAAAAAGTAAACCGTCTCCGGCGCATGCTCCAGCGCCAGGGCATCCTTCACATACACTATGCCAGCCACTTCGGTCAGGCCAAAGGCGCCGCTGCGATCCTCAGCCAAGGCGAATCGCCAGCCACGCATGCGATGCAGCTCCACAAAGCCATCCGGCTGTGCCACACGGTAGAAGGAGGCGGCTGCCCGGTGCACAAACACATCCTTCTCATAGTCAATGCTCAGGCGACGATGTCGTCCCGTATTCGTTTGCATTGTATCGCCGGCGTTGTCGAAGATCCGCTGCTGCCGCACACGCAAGGGCAACGCCTGCGGTGGCTCCTGATCGCTCTCGTGCAGCCGGCTGATGTCCACGTGCAGGCAGATGTGGGCCGTCGCCGTGTTCGTCACATTGCGCGCCTGGATGGTCAAGTCGCGGGCCTGCAAATCGATGCAGTACGGCTCCTG